CCTATATGTCGAGGTCTAGGTCAGAGTAGCACAAGGCGTCTCTGAGCTCCGTTCTTGCCGGTTGGTGTTGTGGTTCGGTGTGATTCGGGGGTCGGTGTCGTTTTTGTGCATATCACAGTCTTTGTAGCCTGTGTACCATACATGTTTAACCGACCTTGCCAATGCGGCCCAGGCGACCCAGGAGTTGCCTGATTCAGCGCGTCCCGTGGAGGAGGTCCAGAAGTCGGAAGAAGAGGTTGCTCGAAAGCACATATAAGGTCACATGACACATGTTTTCTAAAAAACCGTCAGGCGATGCCGGTACCATTCAGTTTCGGACTCATCCCGCGATGTCTCGTACCCGTACCGCTGAGTCGTGAGGCACCCCCTACTGTGACGGCTCCAATGGCTCCGAGTTCGATTCCGATGGAAACGAAGCCATTTTCCACAGGCGGTCCATTTCCAGATGTGGCTGTGACAGCATGTTTTTTGTTTGTGAGGTTTCGCATCACTCACTGGTTATGCTCATCGGTCGAGTCTTGTGCCAAATCAAAACTCAGGCGTCGAACCCCATCGATCCCGACTCGTCAGATGAGCTAGTTGGGCCAGCACCTCGACTGAGACTACATGAGTTGGTCTTGGGAATGTGGCAGTTGCGGCGGTGTCTTTATGTGTCACGTCTTGACTTGTAACTTGTATGGTGTCAATCAATCTGACGGTGCTGAAGACTCGTCCTTTTGAGTCTGTGTGGATATTTCATTCCATTCCTTGTCCATGGACAGCGACTGGGTCGGTGTTGAAAGGCACTGACATCGGCCGGTGTGAAGGAGGCCGCAGCGCCTTCGGAGATCCTCAGCACAAATCCATTCCTCCAAGCCATCAAGTACGTATTCAGTATGCACACATGGTTCATATGGCAAGACTGATCAGGCCAAATCTCGCCATGAGTTGCAGAAGATGAAAGTGCCGGAGCTAAGAACGAGACTCAAGGAACAACTGAAGTTCCTGTCGCAGGAGGCTTTGGTTTGGGGTTAAAGGGGTTGAGGGTCTAGGGTTTGGGGTTTAGGGGGTTTGAGGGCGTTGGGGGTTTCGCGGTCAAGGGTTTAGGGTCTACAACGGCTCTATGAGGGTTGAGGGCTTGGGGGTTCGGGTTTCGGGGCTGTGGGGACCCGTGCAGGAGACGAAAGAAATCGCCGCAGCAAGAAAAGATCGGCTCATCGAGATGCTTATGGAACAATCTGGCCCACCGAAGTCAGCTGATTTGCGCGGCTTTTTCAAAGCAGAAGAAGACGGCGGTGCTGCCAAGGGCCAGTAGCAGCATGAGTCGACATGAGAGTGGTGAATACGTGGTAAATACGGAGATGCAACTTCTCTACCGTACTCGTCGACTCTCGACTCTCGGTTGTGTCCCTGTGTGATCCTGTGTGGACCGTCCGGTCCGGTGGCTTCCCGATTTATCAAACTTTAAAGTTTCAATGCTTGACAAATCGTGATAACTTCTAGCTGTGATAAGTGCAAGGACGGTCCACGGTCAGGCGAACTGAGAACTGCCAGAAGTCAGTATGTTACACAGTTGACAGTTGCATTTTGCAGTACCTTGCGGTAATGACCGGCAATGTGTCATTGTTGTGCTGAGACTGGCTTCGCTTTCCTTGTGTGACTCACGAACCACGACGACCGCAAAGTGCAAAGCATGGTGCAATCCTGTGTTCATGAGGCCTTGGCGTGCGAGATATGAACGGGATTTCATGCCGTGATCCATGCATCCGTCAGCTGTACATCGCGAACTGTGAAGTGCAATCAGCTGCACGGTACAAACTGTGAAAACATGGCCTATCGCCTATCGAATATCGCGCCACCAGGTCTGAGAAATGTTCAGATCCGTGATCCACTGTGTGTCAACAAGAAATATCAATAGTTGATTCACGTATGTTTCACGGTAGTCCGGGTAGTCTACAACGTCCCGATAGCAGGTGCGACCAGGTGCGACCTTGTAATTTCCCAGACAAATGTCAGCTTCAGGGGTTCAACTTGTCAATGGTTAGTTTCTCGGTGCCGGATATCTTTTCCGCGAGGGTTGTTGCGAACATTCGGGTGCGACCAGGTGCGATCTTGTAATTTGCAGCACAAACGAAATTATCGAACAGCAGTTGCAATCCTGTCTGTCAGCAAAAAAAGACAATTGTTTCAGATATGTTTCAGGGTAGGTTAAACGTTCAGATAGCAGGTGCGACCAGGTGCGACCTTGTAATTTCCCAGACAAATGTCAGCTTCAGGGGTTCAACTTGTCAATGGTTAGTTTCTCGGTGCCGGATATCTTTTCCGCCAGGGTTGTTGCGAACATTCGGGTGCGACCAGGTGCGATCTTGTAATTTGCAGCACAAACGAAATTATCAAACAGCAGTTGCAATCCTGTCTGTCAGCAAAAAAGACAATTGTTTCAGATATGTTTCAGGGTAGGTTAAACGTTCAGATAGCAGGTGCGACCAGGTGCGACTTTGTAATTTTCTAGCAATATGTTACACCTACATTCAAGTTGGAGCCCTGTTTCCAGTCCAGGCTTGGTGCGAGTTGTAAATTCCGTCAACAGTATATTCAATCCTCCAATCCTCTAAACCACTGCATCCCCACAGGTCTTAATGTTGAGAAGACCAGGGTTGCTGAGAGTTCTGTTGGCTGGGTCCTAGAAGGGTTAAAAGATTGGGGTTGTTGTGTTTAGGCCCTTAGGCCTTACGCCACTTCAAGCCCCAAGCTTTCAAGCCCTGCCCTCCCGCTTGGGTCTCCAGACTTAACATGCCACATGTTTCTCAAAACGCTCCAGCTGGGCTGCGATGGCATGGTAGGACGAAAGTGGGAATGATAGTCGACAAAACCCGACATACGGTGGCAGCCCGCTTTCAGCGGCTTTGTTACAATTTCAGTCTCAAGAAAAACTATCCAGATAGGCATGCCCGGGTATCTGTGCCGCGTGGATGGGTGCGGTCAGCACACTTTTCGAAAGCCGCCAAACAACGAGTGCCAAGCTTGCCGTCCGGTGAGCAAGCGGGGTGCTAACAGAAGATGGCCGAAAATTCGCTTCAGAGAGAAGTGTGCTGTGTCGCCCGGAGGCGTGCCCGACAGAACTACAGTGAGAGCTGCTGCTAGACCGAATCAGAAGCGGAATGCTGCAGTGATAGAGGCGGAGTCGGCGTCAGATCAACAGTCACCGAGGGAAGAGGAGCAGACAGGGTCTCAGCAGCCAGAGCCAGCCTTGCCTCCTCCCAGGCAGAGACAGTTGCAACCGAATGACTACGATGGGCACGAGACCGGGTTAAACGAGATGTTCCAGGAGATTCAGCAAATCGTGGGCTCTGCAAGTGCACACAACGCACTCGGGTGTGCCCAAGCGATGGTCAAGAGATTCGCCAGAGCTGCTGCATCAATCCCTTCCGATTTGACAACGACCGTTGCAGTCAGCTTCGCTCTTCGTGGAGATGAGAATAACGAGGCCATGCGTATCGCGTGGTATGAACATTGCGGCCGCTTGAGCATCTATGCGAGGAAAGCACATGAGTCTAGACTTATTATGGCATTGCCGTTTCAGACAGATTTACAAGAGGACATGTCACTGACAGATATGTCACGAGTGACTTGAAACTGAAAGGTTTAAAGTCTGAGAGTCTCACTCAAAGTCAGTGACGGGCACTGCTTAGAGATCGTTCTGCAGCCGATCCAACGAAGTTTGCTTACTCTTGTCGGATGCACTGAACGTCGAAAAAGGTTGCCAGCTCGACCCTAGTTTTGTGAGTCTTTTATGGGTGTGGAAAGGTGACATGGACATTCGGAATATCGGAATGCAGTTATTCTTGGTTGTTTATCAGTGAGTTTGTATTCTTCCGGGTGCGAAATATTGAGTTCGCAATGATGGTCTGTCTGAATGAATAAGACAAGATGAGAGTGGCAAATTCCAGTGAGTAGTGCAGACGACACGTATCGCAGCTATGACATCATGCAGCCTCCCCGCAGCCACCATGGATTTGGAAGAGTTCATGCGCTTAGACCCGGCCACTCGCAAGCACCGGCTGTTCGCTCTAAGCACCGAGCAGCTCGCCCGGGGCTCGGCCGCCGCCTCGCTTTTTGCCTGTCCTCGCTACCTGTGCCAGGCCTTGCTGAACCGGGACATCGGGCAGGTGCTCTGCACGAAGCTGACCCTGAGAGTCCTTTGGGTTCGGCACTCAGCACCCCTTCTCTAACCCTAATCCCCAGAGCTGTGCACTCCCGCCAGGACCAGCGACAGCGGGACGAAGAAGACGCCCGCCACGAGGCCGTCTTCGCCCTTGCGTTTTTTTCCCACCGCTGCCCTCGACAGGCTCGGCGCCTGGAGCGCAGCAGGTCGAGGTCGCCACGACGCTGAATGGCCGGGGCCTTAGGGGTTTTTCGGGGTCTTCGGGGTTTTCGGTTTCCCTCCCTCTCGTGCGCACGCGTTTACGGGCTCCGCCCAACCGCCGTCAAGGGCTCCGCCCATACCGCCTCGGCCTTTTTTCCCTCCCGATGGCGCCCCGCCTTGTCGCGGCGGGAGGGTGCCACGACGACGACGCGACACCAGTGCCGGGCACTTCTTGTTCTCATTTTTACTCTGCTCGGAAACGATTTGGGCTTATTCCCGAAGCTCACGGCTTAATTACTACAGGCACCCCTTGTTTCCGGAATTTGCCAGATGAGAGTTGTGTTTACCCTAAACAAGGCAGGTCAGACCACAATAGTTAGCACAAAGGCTTGTTTTCAGTGCACAAACACACAATGTCAGAAAACCAAACAAATGGAAACAAAACTAAATTCGCGTATACAGATTTCAACTCTGATAAACCTGTTTTGGACAGTTCCAAAGCTTAATTCCCTGGCGACCTACCTTTTGCGAAACTTCACACCCAAAAGTAAGTAGGGGTCTTAAACCCTAAACCGTACAAAACCCCGAACCCCAAACCCTAAATCCTGAACCTTAAACCCTAACCCTAAGCCCTGAACCTGAGCCCCAAGCCAAGGATCGGGAGCTTTCCGAGATGAAGACAGACTGGGCCGCTTGCATCTGCAGAGTTTAGGGTTCAGGGGCCAGCTTTACTTTAATGTATGAACCTGATTAAGAAAACTTGGACCCTTAGTAGGGTTCCTTCCATGGATCCTGCTGGTTTGGGGTTATAGGCCCAGGGTTTCTTAATCAGGTTCCTACATCAGGGTTAGGGGTTCAGGGTTCTTGGAGGATCATGATCATGGGACTTGGCCACTAGGGATAAGCAATGGAACAACAGGTCCAGTCACTTATAATTCCTCCCAACTAGGGTACTTCTATTCGTGCTTACTGAGTCCCATGATCCTCAATTAGCGCTGTGCGATGTATGCCAAGCACTTTTCAAAAAAGCAGGAGGTGGGCACGAAATTACCGGGTGTATTCACTACAGCGGTTCCCTAAACTATGGGAATTATGGTATATTCCTTATGATGGGTAATGCAGGATTTATATCATCGACCGAAGAACCCAGAAAAGAGATACCCTCAGCATCGCTCAGCCCAGTGGTCCGACCCCCACACAGCAATTAGGCACTTTGGGTTGAGGGTTTAGGGGTTTTGGGTTTAGGAAGTTTAGGGGTTTAGGGATCTGGGGTTTGGGGTTTTAGGGGTTTAGGGTTTAGGAAGTTTGGGGGTTTGGGGGTTTAGGGGGGTTTAGGGGTTTAGGCTTTAGGAACTTTGGGGGTTCAGGGGGTTTAGGGTTTAGGAACTTTGGGGGTTTGGGGGTTTCGCGGGTTCAGGGTTCAGGGGTTTAGGGTTTAGGATTTGGGGCTGGGGTTTCGGATGTAGGTTCGTAGAAGATGAATTGCCATGCCAGCTGGGCAGTAGTGTTGAGGAGCATGATGCTGAGGGTTTACGGTTTAGGGCCTAGCTTGAAGAGGTGGCTGCCTCCCGAGGATCCGGATGACGATTCGGGGCCCAAGGTTTTCGAGAAACCGAAAATGCGTGGCAGAAGCTGGTGTACAAGAGAGCAGGCCGGCTACAGCTCGGACTGAACAGAGATCCCTGGCAGTGTGGATCGATTCTTTGGAGGAGGGCTCTAAATGATGAGCCATAGTCGTAGTTAGTAGTAGTGAGAATGCTAAAATTACTGATAACATTATTTGTAAAGATACAATAGTAGCAGTAGAAGTAACAATTCAATGGTAACTAATTGACCACTTAACTGTAGTTATAGCCGTAGGGCTTGGGGGCGTCTTCTCAGGACTTCTTCTGGGACCACTATGTCCCGTACATCAACCTGAAACTGCAGCGCCGTGGTGGCACTGCAGAGGTTTAGGTTTCGTTAGGGTTTAGGGTTTTAAGGGTTTCGGGTTAGTTTAGGGTTTTCGGGCTTTAGGGCTCTCGTGTTTTCTGAACCCTAGGAGCTGACCTTGCACCCTCAAGCGTAATCCTGTTTTTGCGGCTCAGGTTCAGGCGATAGGGTTTAGGGTTTAGGGTTTGGGGTTTAGGGTTTAGGGAGTATAAACCAAGTTGCGACTGAATCCCGGTCCTGACGACCATGATTCTCGCAACCTAACTACTCTGCGACTTCGTCCTGGCCCGTGAAGAAAGCCAACTAGCCCAGACGCTAAAACGTGAGCAGCAATATTACCTTAACCTGGGTTCTGGAGTGTCATACAATAGTAGGGGCCTTTGTAATGAGTTACCTACACCAATTGGGGGGGGTTCCTTAGTAAGTATAATATACCCCAATTGTAACCATCAAGGCCCCTATGTTATTTGAGCACTTAGGAACTGTTCCTCGTGTTGCGTGCTTTGTTAAGCCGAATCTAAGGGACCGCAAATAGGACATAAGCAACATTTTTTTAAATAGGGTGATCATTACCTTATTGGGCTTCGTACAAAGGGGGTTTTAGATGGGGAAAGGGTGAAAGGCAATGTAGCCTCTTGGTGAAGAGACCAAACACACACACACACACACACTCTCCCTGTCTGCCATCCCTAGTACAAACTAAAACCCCCATATACAGGGTGTCATGGCTTTAAACTGCCCTAAACCCTGAACCCCTAAACCCTAAGCCCTAATCCCTAAACTGGATACCTTGAGGCAGGACATGTATGATGGGTAGTTGTTAAAATTATGGTCCCTTTTTGGGTACCTTCAATACTAGGTGCCGCATTAGAGTAGGTGCCCAAATAGGGACCTAATTTTGACAACCACCCCTAAACACATTAGCATTATACCCCCCCTCAACCCTGAGCATATTCCCCCTAAGCCCTAAACCCTAAACTGGATACCCCGAAACAGGACGTGTATGACAAAAGCATGCTTCGCCTAGCAATTCCGCTGATCCTCCAAGTCCGGAGCCCTGAACTACAAGCCCGACACTAAACCCAAAACAGTCTAGTAGTAGTAGTAGTAGTAGTAGTAGTAGTAGTAGTAGTAGTAGTAGTAGTAGTAGTAGTAGTAGTAGTAGTAGTAGTAGTAGTAGTAGTAGTAGTAGTAGTAGTAGTAGTAGTACTAGTAGTAGTAGTAGTAGTAGTAGTAGTAGTAGTAGTAGTAGTAGTAGTAGTAGGCGACAGCGTGCTCCTGTGACCCCCCTTTCGCCTCCTTTGTCGCATGCCTCTGACTGTGACCTCTCCCCTTCGCATGCGGCAGCCGTGTGTTGTTTCTGCGCCACGGCACTCTGCGCCCCGGCACACTGCTTTGTTGCCCGGCTTGGGTTTTGCTCTTAGACTGGTTTGGTTCGGCTTGGTTTCGTATGGCTTTGCTTGGGCTTTACTTTTACATAGGGTCTTATCTAGGTCTTATTGTTAGATAGGGTCTTATTGTTAGATAAGGTCTTATTGTTAGATAGGGTCTTATTCTTAGATAGGGTCTTGTTGTTAGATAGGGTCTTATTGTTAGATAGGGTCTTATTGTTAGATAGGGTCTTGTTGTTAGATAGGGTCTTATTGTTAGATAGGGTCTTATGGTTAGATAGGGTCTTATTGTTAGATAGGGTCTTATTATTATTGTTAGATAGGGTTTTCCTCTGTCACAATGGTGAAAGGAGATCTTTTTAAAAATGGCTTGGCTTGGCTTGGCATATTGTTAGATAGGTTGTTAGATAGGGTCTTATTGTTAGATAGGGTCTTATTGTTAGATAGGGTCTTGTTGTTAGATAGGGTCTTATTGTTAGATAGGGTCTTATTGTTAGATAGGGTTTTCCTCTGTCACAATGGTGAAAGGAGATATTTTTTAAATTGGCCTGGCTTGGCTTGGCTTAGATGCTGTTGCATGCTCATGCAAAATGATTGTGGAGTGCCGTTTCCACCGCAGGTCTTAGTAGTAGTCTCCGTAGTCGCCCGCCTGCTCCTCTAAAGTAGTAGTCGTCGCCCGCCTGCTCCTCTAAAAATAGTAGTCGTTACCCGCCTGCTCCTCTAAAGTGGTAGTAGTCGCCCGCGTGCTCCTCTGAAGTAGAAATACTTTTCCGCCTTTTGAAGCTTTAGGGCCAGTTAAGGCGGTCACAGGAGCACGCTGTCGGCTAGTAGTAGTAGTAGTAGTAGTAGTAGTAGTAGTAGTAGTAGTAGTAGTAGTAGTAGTAGTAGTAGTACCCTTATTCCTTTTTTGTAGTCCTAGGTTCCTTATAAAGTTACCCAATACCAAAAAGAGAGGCCTTTTATTCTTAGGTTACTGGGTATCCTAGTCTAGGTTTTCCTTAACCCTGAAGAACCTACCTTTTCAAGGACTTATATAAGGAAATCATAATAGGGAACCCTAAAAAGGTAGGTTCTTCAGGGTTAAGGTTGGGCTTAGGTTTTCGGGCTTGGGGTTTAGGGCTTTAGGGTTTGAGGCTGCTTGTGTCCAAGGTTGGAAGTATGAGCCCCATATGGACCCTTAGGCCCTGTTGAGGGGGTTCTACTTGGAAGGGCAGGGGACATAATAAGTAGGTTATAAGTAGGGTTATAAGTGGGGTAACTCCATTTAGGGCACTTATAACTCTACTTATAACCTACTTACTAAGTCCCCTGCCCTTCCAAGTAGGGACCCTTAAGAGTCTATGTAGGGTATATAGTAGGTATATAAGGATCCCCAGGTTAAGGGTACTAGAGGCCCATGGTTTCAACCGCTGATTGTGGCTGCTTGTGGGTTTAGGGTCCAGGTGGGTTTAGGGTAAAAGGTACAAGGGTCCAAACCCTCAAGCTCTGAACCCTAGATCCTACAACCGAAGCCTAAACCCTCAACCTCGAAACCCGAGACCCTAGCCCCGAACCCCAGGCTCTAAACCCTAAACCCTGAAACACTAAGCCCAAAATCCTAAGGACAAAACCTTAAACCCAAAACCCTAAATCCCAAAACCCAAAACCCTAAACCCTGAAACCTCAACTTCTAAAGTCTTGCAACAAAAACCGCGGAATCTCGGAACCCCCAAACCTCAGACTCTAAACCCTAAACCCTGATGGCCTTGACGCGGGCCCATTACCTGGCAGGCATCAAAAAGGAGCTCAACAAAAAAACCTAAACCCTGAAACCTCAACTTCTAAACTAGGATGCCCAGTAGTACCCTTATTCCCTTTTTGTAGTCCTAGGTTCCTTATAAAGTTACCCAATACCAAAAAGAGAGGCCTTTTTATTCTTAGGTTACTGGGTATCCTAGCAACAAATCCGCTGAATCTCGCAGCCCCGAAGCCTGATCCGGCTCTCAAGGTGGGCTGCACGGATCCCAACGGTTGATGATATAAATCCTAGGGGTACCTTTAAAGGGATTTATAAGGCTACCTTTAAAGGGCTCTTTAAGGGATCTAATATAGGGTTTTAGGGTTCAGGGTTTCCCAAGTACGTAGAGGATCATGATATTTAGGAACTCTGGTTGTCAATATGCTGCGGTTGATCATATAAATCCTGCATTACCCAAAGGGCCCTAAACTATGGGAATTATGGTGTATTCCTATGGGTAATGCAGGATTTATATCATCAACCGCAGGAACTATGGTTTTCAATATGCTACTATACTTTTAGCTGCTTGAACCTTAATTAAGATACTCGTGAGGTTATGTACTAAGTCCCATGATCCTCTAAGTACGAGTGCTTATGCACAGGTTCAGGATTATCGATTATGGTTCAGGTGGAAACCCTCACGCTGAAGCCGCTTATCTACACCCCGCCTTTGGAGGTCTGTCAGAAATCAAGGTCGGGTTTAGGGGTACTGGAATACCATACTTTGATGCATATGGGTTCTGTGCCTGTTCCTTAAATGCGTCGTTATGGGCTAAAAACAAGCACACATACCTACATCCCTAGATACGTGCATACATACATGCATACATACATATATATATATACACACATGCATACATCTATCTATACATATATACTACATATATAGAGATACAACCTCGGTTTCAACAGCTGGCAATAACATCCCCATACCGGCCTGAAGTGATATCGATGTCTTCATGCTTGTTTAGTGGCCTGGAGTCCCCGACCCCATCGGATCGGTTATCCTCCAGACACATAGCGCCGGACTTTTGACACCATAGGGACTTAAATAAATGCCAACACTATTTGGGGGTTCCTTATTACAATTATTCGAGTAGTGTACCCCGAAACCCTGCTCTACTAGTTAGTAAGGCCACAATTATACCTCCGCCGTCACTTCCATGCTGCGTGTGTGGAAAGCTTCGGGTGAGGAGTTGGCTTCCGTGTCAGAAGATGTCGGTGCGGTGCTGGACTTGAAACGCCGTTTGCGTAAGATGCACGGCTTCCCAGTGTGCTTGCAGCAGCTGGTGTGCGCTGGCAGCTGCTTGAAGGATGATGACCGGGTTGAAGCACCGGCTGAGCTGCAGCTGGTGCTCGTGAGGGTTTCTAAGAAGTTGCGTCAGCGAAAACTCGAAGCAGAGCTCGCGGAGGTAGCTCTCTCCGACCATGATGTCCTACGTGGTATGTTGCAATTTTGGGCTGGTCGGCTCCGTCACTTCTGCGGTGTGGCGCTGCAATGCGCCGCCGGGTGCGGCTCCATGGAGACCGTGCGCCTCTTGCTGGATGCTGGCACATTCCCGTCCTTCATGACCGCGGATGGGGATTCCGCTCTCATGCTGGCAGCATCGAATGGCCACACTGAGGTTGCAAGTTTGCTGATCGATGCCGGTGCTGAAAAGGACTTGTTCAATTTAGATGGTAGAACAGCTTTAATTCTCGCAGCTTATCATGGCCATGCTGACCTTGTGCGATTGCTGCTTGGTGCCGGAGCCAATAAGAACAGTCAGGATATTCGCGAAAGAACGGCTCTCATGTGGGCTGTCATTCACGGGCACACAGAGGCTGTAAAGCATTTGCTGCTAGACCCTGGCACGGACAAGGACATGCAGGATTGCTATCGCATGACAGCTCTCTTGCATGCAGCCAAAGGTGCCCGCACTGGAATCGCACGTCTGCTGGTGGAGGCTGGTGCGGACGCGAGCTTGCGAGAGTACTCCGGCAAGACAGCTCTCATTATGGCTACCTGCAATGGATTCGATGAAATTGTGCGGTCGCTCATTGACGCGGGTGTTGACAAAGACTTGTTCGACGACTACGATGTCGAAGCTGTTGACAGGACAGCTCTCATGTGGGCAGCCAGTCTAGGTCGCATTCAGATTGCAAGATTTCTGATCAATGCTGGTGCCAACCTTGACCTGCGGGATAAAAAGGGCCGGACAGCTCTCATGTGGGCAGCCATTCGCGGTCACATTGAAGTTGAGCGATTGCTGGCTGATGCTGGCGCTGGCAAGAGCCTGCAGGATACAGCCCTCACCTGGGCAGAAATGATGTTTCCTACATGCATACGCTGGGCTAGACGATCTCGCTGAGCAGAAAAAGTCACAGCCTGTTAGCCTTTTCATAATGGCGGCCAATAGGCACTTGGACGGAGAAGGATGCCTTCGGGTATAATACAAGGGCCTAAGGCTTTAATTGCCAATATTATTTTGGGGATTCCTTATTATAAGTATAGTATAATGGGAACCAAAAACCTAATCTAATCATTGAGGCCCCTCTAGTAGGTACTCTAAAGTCCCGCTGTTTCGCGTTGTCAAAGGTTGTTTTGGTGCACGAAACCCTCATTAGTTGCTAAGCTCTTGCCAGCCTCAGCACGCTTTCATCTTGTCAGTTTCCTGTTGTAAGTAAAATGCAAAAACGTCCGGTAGCATCCTGCCCTAAATCCCAAAACCCTAAACCCAAAACCCCAAAACCCCGAACGCTCACCGTCCAAGCTTGGGAAGCGATCGGAGACCTGAATCCGCAAAGCCCGAATGTTCCGCAACCTGAAACCACGATTGCACATGCCAAACCTGTATTTTTTGGACAGAGGGTTTTTGAGGCTAGAATAAGATGGTACTTGCTCGTTGTAGGGTCTGCAACTAGAACTTTTAGGATGTAGGGTTTAGAGCTAACAGCTAAAGTTGAGGTTATTTTTGGGTTTGCGGGTTTAGTGTTTTTGTTTTTCGGGGTTGCAGCTGGGATGAGGGTTTAGCGTTCCACTACTGTTCCGAACCCCGAGATCCCTCGTGGTCTGAAGTCTTGAGCGTTAGTCCCTGGTAGTACGAAGTAGCTCGAGCAGCATACAGTTACCAGGCTCTATATACGATCACCATGATTTTATGGGTATGCTTTAGGTGCGTTACTGACAAAATACTCAGTATACAACAGCCACCTTTTCACAGTCTCCATTGTAGTTCCCTCTTTGGTTAGCGACGTTTATGGTTAGGATCCTATGGTATAGTTTTTGTTTTGCAAAAAAAGGAACTTATGGAGACTGCAGGCAATCCGCGAAGTCCCCTGACCCTTCTAACCCTAAGCCCCAAACCCTAAACCCCAAACTCCAAACCCCAAACCCTAAACCCTAAACCCCAAACCCTAAACCCTAAACCCCAAACCCCAAACCCTGAACCCTAAACCCCAAACGCTAAACCCTCAACCCTCAATGGTCTCGTAGCAGCTCTGGGTTCCAGTTCGCGACAATCCCACAGAGCCCTGGGCCACGGGAAGCTTGAGGATGAAGGGCTTACAGTACTAGGATGCCCAGTAGTACCCTTATTTCCTTTTTGTAGTCCTAGGTTCCTTATAAAGTTACCCAATGCCAAAAAAAAGGCCTTTTTATTCTTAGGTTACTGGGTATCCTAGAGTAGAAGCCAGAGAGTTGGGGGGTTTGGGGGTTTAGGGGTTTAGGGGGGTTGAGGGTTTAGGGGACAGTAGAAGGCAGAGAGTTGGGGGGTTTAGGGGGGGTTTGGGGGTTTAGGGGTTTAGGGGTTTAGGAGGAGAGTTTGGAACAGCATTATCCTCGTGCCCTTAAGTTTCAGGTAAGGCGCAGGAAATCCCAGCATTAATTGTCGTAAAACCATGTTCCAGCTTTCGGGGCTTCACTATAGAGGGTTCAGAGGGGGGGGGGGGGGCGGGGGTCTTTAAGGGTTGTCAGGGGGGCTGGCTTTCGTGTGTTTTAGTGTAGTTCAGGCAATTTTCGAGGCATTCGGTCTGACCGCCGGACCTAAACCCACAAGAGTCCACCAAAAAGCAACCGACACATACAAAGAAACTCAAACAAGGCCCTAGCACACCAGACAGGTGCCCCAAGAACCCCAAACCAGAAAGGGAGCTCCGCCCTGAACCCTACACCCTAAATCCTAAACCCAAAGAAACCGCATAAACCCAAAGCGAACCCAGGACAGACCTCCTTTCGCAAGCCAGCAGCTGGATTGCACATCAGGAGGAGGGTTTGAGGTTAAAGATTAACAGGTTTGGGGTTTGGGTTTGGGGTTTAGGGTTTACGGTTTGGGGGTTGGGTGTAGGGTTGAGGGGTTAGAGTTTCTGTGGAGGCTTTAGAGTCTAGAGTTGATTCAGGGGTTTCCTTTGAAGGGGTTCCATAGGGGTTGGGGGTTCAGGGCGTAGCTACCATGTAGGGTTTAAGTTTGACGATTTCCGGATTTGCGTTGTGAGGGCTTCGATTCTCAGGATTACGGTAAGCATATTTATCTTGGCGGCAAGATTATTTCCGTGCCGGACAGGCAAGGCTCCAAGTGCTCCTCAAGGAACCTAGGTCCTAGGGTTTAGGGTCTAGTTTCTCATCCAAGATTTACCGTCATGACAACATGCACTTTAAACCTTACATGGCAGACAGACTTGAATTTCTGCTGCCACTGCTCCGTTTGCGACATGCCCAACCATCATCACGCTCACTTCAGGCACATTGTTGAAATGCGCAACGTGAGCGCACAGACGGTGGAGGCAGTAGCCATGCTTGTGAACATTGAAGCAGCATTCGGCACCGAAGCAGACGCCCAAACCATTAATTAGCTCTAAACAAGAAGTTGTGCAAAGCTCACAAGGGAACTGCACTTCATTCCCCGACCCCCGGGAGGATCCAAATAGTCGATCCCTTAATGGGGGTTCCAAAAAAGTACCCTTAGTAGTATAGGGCCCCAAATTAGGGGGATCTACTTTCCCTTATAGATCCCTAAACCCTAAACCCTAAAGGATACCATAAAGGAGCCCTTTAAGGAACCCTACTAAGTCCCATGATCCTTTAAGTAGACCCTAAACCCTAAACCCCATAGATACCTTTAAGGAAACCCTTATAGATCCCTTTTAAGGAGCCCTTTAAGGAACCCTACTAAGTCCCATGATCCTTTAAGTAGACCCTAAACCCTAAACCCCATAGATACCTTTAAGGAAACCCTTATAGATCCCTTTTAAGGAGCCCTTTAAGGAACCCTACTAAGTCCCATGATCCTTTAAGTAGACCCTAAACCCTAAACCCCATAGATACCTTTAAGGAAACCCTTATAGATCCCTTTTAAGGAGCCCTTTAAGGAACCCTTATTAAGCCCCCTGATCCTCCAAGTAGTAGACCCTAAACCCTAAACCCTAAAACTACCCCAAAGAGCCCTTTAAATCTACTTTCTAGATCCTCCCTTAAGGGTCTGGGTTGTCCAAGCGCCCTCTCAAGGATCCCTCGTCTGCCCGGGCTGACGTGAACCCCTGGGCTCCCACTCTGAGTAGTACCAATTAAATTAGGGACCCAAAAAGCACATAAGCATAAGGTTTAGGGTTTAGGGTTTAGGGTTCAGGGTATAGGGTTTATATAAGGTTTAGGATTTAAGGTTTAGGGTTTAGGGTTTAGGGGTTTATGGGGATATCCCTACCTTATTGGGCCCCATTATAAGGGGGTTTATATGGGATATCCCTAGCCCATTTTTGCTTATGTGCGTCCCTGACCAACTTCCACTCTCGATCCACCAAAAATGCAGCGAACCCCAGAGGTTTGGGCTCTCTGGTTTCTGGGTTTAGTAGTGAGGGTTCAGGGTTGATAGCACACTTGAGCCTAAACCCTAAACCCCCTGACCAGAGTTGAGGGGTTGGGGTTGGAAAGGTCTCTCCTGGCTACCAGACTTCATCCAGAACGTGAAGGAACAGGGCTGTGCAGGCAGGTGATTTTGTTGGGAAGGCTTGGGTTTCGATACTGCCCACAGAACCTTTCTATTGGGGGGTGGGCCGGGGGGGGGGGTCCGCGACTGCATTTCGGAAATGGGTACCCTTAGTCCCAATTTAACGGGTCGGTATAGACTTCGAATATTTCTATGTACTATGAGTCCACCCCAGTCCCTCTACCCAGACCTTCCAAAAGCCCTTAATTAAGGAATATACCTTAAATGGTATTAGGGATCCTACTATAATTTAAGGTATATTCCTTAATTAAGGGATTTTGGAAGCTTTGGGAATCTAGAAGTATAGAAGTGCCCCCCCCCCCCCCCCCGCCCAAACCCTTGTCGGGGAAGCTTGGCTTAGCCCTAACCTGTGAGCCTCCAAGCCTGCACGGTATTCTTACCATTATTAAGGCCTAGGACCCAGAGTAGGCCCTTATTCCCTTTTTTAGGGTTCAGGTTCCCTTACAAGCCCCTTTAAACCAAAAAGGGCATCCTTTTTATGCCTGGGTTACTCTTGGGTCTAGAGGCTTAGTAGCTGAGTGGATACACTTTACACTTGTTGGGGGGATAATCCTACCCACTATAAAGCTGAAAGTGTACACTTTTGGGGGCTTATGAACTCAGCAACTAAGAAGGCGTGATGTGGCCGGGGATGCCTAGCTACATCGACTAGGATGCCCAGTAGTACCCTTATTCCCTTTTTGTAGTCCTAGGTTCCTTATGGGCCATGGTTTTTTTTTTTTCGAAGGTGCGGCCAACCCTTGTTTGCGAGGTGCGGCCAAGGGTCCCTGGTGCATGCGGTCCCCTGGTCCTCTGGTCCTTGGTCCTGTGGTTCCCTGGTCCTCCGGTCTGCTGGTCCTCTGGTCCTGTGGTGTCCGTGCATGCGGTCCCCAGTCCTCTGGTCCTTGGTCCTGTAGTCCTCTGGCCCTCTGGTCCTCTGGTCCTCTGGTCCCGTGCTCTCCTGGTCCCGTGGTTTCCTGGTCCTGCGGTCCACCGGTCCCTCGGTCCCGCAAAAGCAACAAGAAAGCAAACAAGGAATAACACAAATAAAGCACAACCCCAGAAGAAAGAAAAGCAGAAGAAAGATGATGAAGGAAAGAAAGCCAGGAAGGAAGCACAAAAGAAAGCAAGAAAGCACAGGAGCTAGCAAGGAATGAAAGAGAAACAAGAACGGGAACCCATTTTTGTTTGTGCCCTTTTTTTTGGCCCTCTTTCTTTTGCTCCCACGTCCTGTTATTTACACAGGGAAGGAAGAAAGCAAGGAAAAAAGGAAGGAGGAAGGAAGGAAGGAAGGAACAAGGAAAGAAGAAGGGAGAGAAGGAAGGAAGCAAGGAAGGAAGGAAGGAAGAAAGCAGGGAGACAAGGAAGGAAGGAAGGAAGGAAGGAAGAAGGAGCGAAGGAAGAAAGGAAAGAAGCAAAGCAAGGAGGGAGGAGAGCAACGAAGGAAGGAAGGAAGGAAACAGGGAAGGAAAGAAAGAAGGAAGAAAGGAAGGACGGTAGTATTTCAGTAATATATATATATATATATACATAGTATACATAGTACATGTTGTATATAAAATATGTATACTATATATATATATATATATATAGTATGTACAGTAAGGATAATATATTATAATATAATATAATGGAATATAATATAATATATGAATAATATATAATGTAATAAAATATAATTTAACATAATATAATATAGTATAATATAACATAATGTAATCTAATATAATGTAGTATAATATAATATAATGTAATATAATATAATGTAATGTAATGTAATATAACATAATATAATATAATGTAATATAATGTAATCTAATGTAGTATAATATACTGTAATATACTACAACATAATGTAATATAATAAAGAAATACAATATAATATAAAAAGATATAATATAATATAATAGAATAGAATAGAATATCAATATATTAGAATAGAATATCATATAATAGAATAGAATATCATAAAATAGAATATCATAAAATAGAATAGAATAGAATATCATATAATATAATAGCATAGAGTAGAACATAATAGAATATAACAGAATATCATAGAATATAATAGAATATCATAGAATATAATAGAATATAATATAACATAAAAGATTATAGGATAATATAATGGAATTTAATAGAATTGAAAAGAATATAATATAATGTAATATAAGAGAATAGAATAGAATAAAATAGAAAAGAATATAATATAAGAGAATATAATATAATATATACAGTATATAGAGTCTATATAGTTTGTTCATATATATATTTATATATATATATAGAGAGAGAGTTTATTCATATATATAGTATATATAGTATATATAGTATATATAATATGTATAGTATATATATATATACTATATATAGTATATATAGTGTATATAGTATATATAGTATATTTAGTGTACATAGTATATCTACTATATATATACAGATATACATAGAGTTTCAATATATATATATATATATATATAGTATATGTAATAAGTACAGGAGATATAACTTTAGTATATATAGTTTATACAGTATATATAGTATATACAGTATATTTATAATATATACATATTTATATAGCATATGTAGTAGAGTTAGTATATATAGTATATATAGTAGATATAGGAGATATTATAAAATTGTATGTATATATATATATATAGTATATATAGTGTAAATAATATATATATATATATATATATATATATATATTTATATAGTATATATATACACAGAGAGAGAGAGAGTACATATGTGTGTATATAAATATATACATATATATATATATATACATATGGAAGGCCTATTATTTTGGATCTTGTTGTTGAATTTTTTGTTTGGTGTTTTTCCATGGTTTTTCCTTGGGGAAGCACTATTTTCCTCACGTTTTGGACAGATTTGGTGTGCTTTTCTTTGTTTTTTCCACCTGAAACGAAAAGAACCCAGGAAGACAGAACGAAACACCCCAGAACAAGGACCAAAGCAAGGAAGAAGAACAGAAAGAAAGAAAAGATAGAAGGAAGGCAGACGGTTGGAAATTCAGGTTCGGAACCCAGGTTCAAACCTGGGTTTGAACCTAGGTTCTAATTCGGGTTAGAACCCAGGTTCAGAACACGGATTTTCTCGGGTTGTTGATTCAGCGGGGTTAAGCGCGAAGCAACACAATCAATCATGAATGACTTGGAAGTTCTCTTGAGCCACGAAGTAATCAACAATAACGTGTTTGCCAACCGGTCGTTTGAGCCGCCACGAAATAAATAAAACCGTGTTCGCCAACACAAAAAAAGAATAAAACCAGACAACACTGCTTCAGGGGGGTTTAACGTGAAGAAGACAAAATCAATCCTGAAGGATTTAAAAGGTTTGCAAATGGGGGGGCTGCGCCCCCCCCAACCCCCCCGCTTTTTTTAGACTAAACTCCCCCGCTCTCTAAAGCCACACAAGAAAGGGAAAGCCAGACAACCACGCTCCAGGGGAGTTTACCGCGAAGAAAGCACAATCAATCCTGAAGGGTTTAACAGCTTTGCAAATAGGGCGAGTTCCCCCCCCAAACCCTCGCTGTTTTAGACTAAACTCCCCGCTCTCTAAAGCCGCGAAGAAATGAACATAAACGTATTCGGCAACACACAAGAAGGGGAAAGCCAGACAGCCACGCTCCAGGGGGTTTAACGCGAAGAGCAGCAACAACAACAGCAACCAAGACGACGACCACGACGACATCAACGACCCCACCACCACCAACGACGACAGCAACGACATCAACGACATCAACGACACCACCACCGCCACCAAGGCAAATAGTCTTGGAAATGGCTGCATTTCCCATTATTTTTTCTTTAGTTTTTCGTTGATCCCTGGATCTAATTTGTTTTTGATGATGAGTTTTTTGATGCCTCACCCCGTCCACAGGGATCCTGCCCCTCGAAGCGCCCGCGCTGTGGTGCGGCGCGACCCCGATGAACCCTCTACAGGGATTCTGTGTGTCGAAGCGCTGGCGCTGTGGTGCGGCGCAAATTCTTTACGTCGCCGATGAACCCTCTAAAGGGATCCTGCGTGTCCAACCTGAACAAATCCTTGGCCGCACCTCCGAAAAAAGAGGGTTGGCCGCACCTCCGAAAAAAAAAAAAACCGTAGGTTCCTTATACAGTAGAAGCCAGAAAGTTGGAATATCATTATCGTAACCCCTTTAAGGTAAATTATAGGGGATCCTACCATTAATCCATATTCCAACTTTCTGGAGTTCCCTTTAAAGTTACCCAATACCAAACAGAGAGGCCTTTTATTCTTAGGTTACTGGGTATCCTAGTCGATGAACCCGACGGGTTCAGGCCCTTATCGTTCCGGGCTCAGGGTTGAGGGTGCCGGGCCCCCAGCCCAGACCTTCCAAAAGCCCTTAGTTAAGGAATATACCTTAAATGATATTAGGGATCCTACTATAATTTAAGGTATATTCCTGAATTAAAGGATTTTGGAAGGTCTGGGACTTACTGGCTTCTCTTTAAGGGATTTGATCTAAGTTTTCATAATGAGTAAACCATACCATGTACTGTAGATCCCTATGACGATAGCTATAACAAGAAGCCAGTCTAAACCCTAAAGCCTGAACCCTTAACCTGAACCCTGAGACCCAAAACCCTCTGCCTTGTAAGCTAAACCTTAAGCCCGAGACCTTCCGTTTGAGATGCGTAGTGAGCTGGAAACTAGAAGCAGCAAACAAGCTCAAGCTGAAGCTGTGCGGTTTTCGAATTTCCCGCTTTTCGGGTTTCAGGGGTGGCTCACGTCGTGGAGGGTCTCTTCTTTGTGGGTTTAGGGTTTACCTTGACCCCAAGTAACCTACCTTTTTAAGGACTTATATAAAAGACATCATATTAGGGAACCCTAGAAAGGTAGGTTCCGTAGGGTCCAGGTAGGGTTTAGGCCACAGTCGAGGTGCGGGGTTTCTGTGAGGGTTCCTTTGAGGGTTCCTGGAAGGAAGGGCTTCTCAACGTGATCTACAATGTGTCCTTATAAGGGATCTATAGGGGTACTATAATATAGGGGCCTTAATAATCCTATAACTTCCCGTTGGTTAGTAGGGAATGGAAGAATGGTAGTAATTGTAGTTATGATTGTACCCCATTCCTCCATTCCCTACTAACCAAAGGTAAGCACTGTGTCCATGAGGGTGTAGGCTTCATAAGGCTTCAGCGGGTTCATGTAGAAGGATTCCATGAAGGGTTTCTGAACCAGTACTTACAGGGGTTTAAGGTTCAGGGCTTTAGGGAGTGGTTAGGGTTTAAGCGCCAAGTGTTTCGAACGGAGAGTTTTGAGTCTGTGCGCAGAGAACAACATTTTAGCCTGAACCCCTAAACCCTAAACCCTAAAGCCCTAAACTCTGAACCCAAAAGCCTGTCTTGGAGAATGAGTCCATGGTTGAGGAGGTCTTTATATGTTGGGTTTAATCCAAATAAGAATGGCAAAGACTTCTAGAGTGTCCATATAAGCTATTATTATGGAATCAGGTCCCCAAGGCCATAATCAGAATGGTTTGTTGGGGCCCAATTCCATCATGGTTTGATATATGGACCCTCCGGGACTTCCTTCCACACACCACTGGTATAGATTTGTCTTTGAGGTTCAATGTTGAGCATTCGCGGGGCTACGTACCCGTACAGAAGTTTGCAGCGGCGTCCATGCGAGGCATTACGGAGCGGAACGGAATCGACCCGCTGTTGCGAAACACATGGTGCGAAGGAACCGTTGGCTTGGGGTGGGGGTCAATGTTTAACATTACATATGGTCTTTAGGAACTTTAGGATCTGTACCTAATAGCAACTGTAGGAACCCTACTATCCACCATGCAGGTACTTGGGACCCCTTTTGGGTTCAGTGCTCCGGTAGATGATATAAATCCTGCATTACCTTAAGGACCCTAAGCAGCTCTGGGAAGTATGGATTATACCTTATTATAGGTAATGCAGGATTTATACTAAACTATGGGAATTACGGTATATTCCTTAGTATGGGTAATGCAGGTTGATATCATCAACCGTAGGAAGCTGTAGGGCTCCTTTAAGACCATAATTCCCATTGTTTACGGGCCTTAAGGTAATGCAGGATTTGTATCATCAACCGTCCCTCAAGTGAAAAACTAGCAGGGTCTAGGGCCGCAGCTTTAGACTTCTGAAGCCTGGAAGTGACCTCACACCCTGGGTTTGGGGCATACTCTTCCTGAAGGTTTTTTGGGGGCCGTCATTTTAACCCCTAATCCCTAACCCCTAACCCCCTAAACCCCCCAAAACCCTAAACCTTAAACCCCTAAACCCTCGACCTTAACTGCTAGACGGAAAAAGGCGTTCAAAAAAAAAACCTAAACCCTAATTCCCTAAAGGCCCTGAGCCCATGGTCCTTAGTCTTTGAAGCCCCTGACAAGCGGTTCAGGGTTTAGGGGTTTCGGGGTTTAGGGTGTGGGGGAGCTGTGATTGCCCCTATCCCCCCGAGGCCGGTTGCAGCCAGCTACCCGTGCATTTCGGAAGGGTTCCGGGTTTTTGTCGGGATTTCTGGTCCTTTTGTACGGATAGTTCTGTCTCTCGTACCGTTTAAGGGGTTGTGCGGCTGCTGTTTGGTTTTTTCGGTGGTGTGTTTGGAGTTGGGCCGCGGAGTTTATGTAAGCTTTGTGAAAGTTTGGGGTTTAAGACCCTATCAGACCCTATCCGACCCCACCTCCTTCAAGGGAACCGACATTTAGGAGTAAACCCTAAACCCTAAACCCTAAACCCTAAAATCTAAACCAGAAAAGACCTACGTTCGAGTTCAGGCCATGGTTCAATGCCCTGAACCCTACACCCTACTTGGAGGATCAGGGGACTTAGTAAGGAGGGCCTATTTTTGTCGACATCATTTTTTGCACCTGTGGCTTTTTTTGTTCTTTCTTTTTTTCGAGTGTTTGTTATAGATAATACTAGTACTGGTAATAATAAAAAGTAATAGAGTAATACAGTCATAGACTAATAGACTGATAGACTGATAATAAACTAATAGACTAATAGACATAATAAACTAGTAGACTAATAGACTAATAGACGAATAGACGAATAGACTAATCATAGACTAGTAGACTAATAGACTAGTAGACTAATAGGCTAATGCACTAAACAAACTAAACAGACTAAAAGACGAAAAGACTAATAGAGTAATAAAGTAACAAAGCAATAAAGCGATAAAGCAAGAGAGCAATAGAGCAATAGAGCAATACTCTATTCGTTTATTACTCTTATACTCTTACTCTATTACTCTATTACTCTATTACTCTTTACTCTATTACTCTAGTACTCTAGTACTCTAGTACTCTATTATTCTATTATTCTATTACTCTATTACTCTACTACTCTATTACTCTATTACTCTACTACTCTACTACTCTATTAGTCTATTCCTCTATTACTCTATTACTCTAATTGGCAGCAGAAGCAGAAAAATAATGTGGCCAGATATTCTCGGCCCCTTAGTAACTAGGGTTATAAGTAAGGGTAACTTTAGTTATAATTAGTTACAACCCCAGTTAGGGTACTTATAAACTGACTTACTAAGTCCCATGATCCTCTGAGGAAGCTCTAAACCCTACACCTACAGGAAGCGACTTGATGTACCGGCCGCTGGCCTACCTCTGCCCGCAGACCTGCGGCTGCGACACCCTCGCATCTTGGATTGCAGATGTGTGCTTCAGGATGTAGGCTTCAGGGTTTCGGGTTTAGGGAAGCAGACACGGCCCCATCTTAAAGGCTAAACTGCTAAACCCTACTTGGAGGATCCTGGGACTCAGTATGTAGGGTTATCAGTACCCTTCTTGGGGTACTATGTAGGTGATTGTTACCGACTACAGTTACTTCAGGGCCAGCTCTGCGAAACCATAACCCCTTGCACCCATCATTTCGGGTTTAGGGTTTAGGGGTTTAGGGGTTTAGGGTTTAGGGGTTTAGGGGTTTAGGGTTTAGGCTTTAGGGTTTAGGGTGCGGCTTTGGAGTTGAGGGTTTAGGTCTTAGCTAGGATGCCCAGTAGTACCCTTATTCCCTTTTTGTAGTAGTTGGTTCCTTATAAAGTTACCCAATACCAAAAAGAGAGGCCTTTTTGTTCTTAGGTTACTGGGTATCCTAGGGTTTCCTGCTGTAGGCCATCCATATCGCCTAGAGGCGTGGCAATTTCTTCCATCGCAGGAATAGCCCGAACCCCCAAGCTTGCCATTAAAGCCCACGCCCTTACTTGAAGGATCATGGGACTTAGTAACTAAGGTTATTATTAGGGTAACTATACTTAAAACTACTTATGACGCCAATTAAGGTACTTAGAACCATACCTAGTAAGTCCCACGATCCTCCAAGTAGACCCTAAACCCTAAACTACACCCTATAGATCCCTTTTAGGAACCCTATAGATCCCTTTAAGGAGCCCTTTAAGAATCATACTTAGTAAGTCCCATGATCCTCCAAGTAACTGCTGAAGTTGAACATGCTTCGGACTGCCCGAGTCCCACGAGATTTTTAGGGTTTAGGGTTTAGGGTCGGTATGCCCGGAGCCCAAAACCTCCGAAGAGCATTCCAAGTCTCTCCAACCTCCAAATGAGGGCTCATACTGTAGGGGCCTCAATAATTGCCAATACCAAAACCCTCTTCTTATTCTTTACTTGGAGGGTCGGGGGACTTAGTAAGTAGGTAGTAAGTAGACTTATAAGTACCCTAAAAGGGACCCTGATCGGGGTTATGGTACTTATAAGTCCCTTAAATAACCAGTTACTAAGTCCCCCGACCCTCCAAGTAAGGCCACTTTACGAGGCTCCCCAGAGGTACCTTTCTCCCCTTTTCTTACCATTCGGGGGCTACTCGTGGAACCTAGGCTTGATGTTACATTCCCAGACCCGCGGGAGGATCTAGTCGATCCCCTGATTTGGGGCCCTGTACTGCTAAGGGTACTTTAGAGGAACCCCCATTAAGAAACCCTAAACCCTGAAATAAGCCTAAACCCCCTATACTCTAAACCCCTAAACCCTAAACCCCCATTCCCAGAGACTCCAATATCCCTTAATTAAGGAATATAATCCTTAAATCATATAAGGGATTCTACTATAACTTAAGGTATATTCCTTAATCAAGGGATATTGGAGTCTCTACTTGGAGGGTCGGGGGACTTAGTAAGTAGGTAGTACGTAGACTTATAAGTACCCTAAAAGGGACCCTAATCGGGGTTATGGTACCTATAAGTCCCTAAAATAACCAGTTACTAAGTCCCCCGACCCTCCAAGTAGAGACTCCAATATCCCCTAATTAAGGAATGTACCTTAAGTTATAGTAGAATCCCTTATATGATTTACGGATTATTCCTTAATTAAGGGATATTGGAGTCTCTAGGTTAAGGGATCTACTTTTTGGATCCTCCCGGGCCCGGACTCTGGGTTGGGTTTTCAGGCGTACGACCCCACCCCAGCGACCGGCCGCACAACTCGCAACCATGGATCTTGGTCTTGAACTCCCTAAACCCTAAATGCTAATTACTGGGTTTAGGGTTTAGGTTTCAGGGTTTGGGGTTTAGGTTTTAGGGTTTAGGGTTTAGGGTTTAGGTTTTAGGGTTAAGGGTTTAGGGTTGAGGGGCAGGACTTAGGAAGTGAGCAGGGTTGCAAGTAGCATAACTTCAAGTAGGGTACGAAACATAGCCGCAAGTTGAATAGATGCACTTAGTATATGGCAGGTCGGCAAATAGTGGTATCTTATTTTGGGGTCCTTATAATCAGGGTCCCACTATTTAGGGTACTAAATTAAGGTACCCCTATATTTGGAAACTCCATATCGAAGCTGTAGAAGCTGTTGAGCCAAAAGGATCCTATGCCATCCTACTGCCCGACGAGCTGCGAGGTGTCTCGAGAATCTGCAGTTTACACGGTTTAGGGTTTAGGGTGTAGCTTTGGGGATTTAGCGGCTCGCTTTCTCGGGTTTGGGTATTACAAAGCTTTCACCCATCAGGCAAAAAGTGTTGACCCTGCAGCCTTAAACGCCTAACCGCGGCAAAGGAACTATGCGTCCATACATCTAGGTTTTCACTGTTAAGGGCACGCTTTGGCTTTAAATGTCGTTGCTTTCACTTGACCTGGACGGTGCAAAGAGGCTTGTTCACTCGAAGGGTTTTGGACGTCGTGCAGTCACGAGCAAGATGGGACTTAAGCACGGCCACGAACATGTAGACATCTACCCCCGAGCCCTAGAACACTAAGTGCTTGAATTACCCATCTATATAGGAACTCTCCAATTAATGCCTAAGCAGGTGCTTTAGTATAAGTATGGGACGCTCAGTGTTACGTGACCAAAACAAGTGGATGTAGAGTATCTTGAACGGAGTTCTTTCTTCAAAGTTCAGCAAGGCTTGAAAGGGGCCCGAACACAGAGCCTCGACCTTCTCGCGGGGAAGACGGCATTGCGGCAAGCCCAAGCAATTAGATCTTCAAGAGTTTACGGTGCAGGGTTTAGTGGACAGGTAGTTTGGGTTTCTAGGGTTTACGGTTAGATGAGTGAAGTTGTTTTCCCCCCAATGACTCGATCGTAAGTAAAATCCGCGCAATGTCCACAACATCACCAAATTCAATTCCTCAGTCGTTTGAGCTTCCGAGTAGAACTCTAGCTCTAGCCTCCATAAATGGGTAGATGTACAACTGTCAGCCTTAAACCTTCAATCTTACACCTTAAACCATCCGCCCTACCCATTGGCCTTTTGCCTTAACCCTGAACCCAAAGCCTCGGACCCTAATCTCTAAACTCTGAACCATCACCCTTAACTTTAAGCTATGCCCCATAAATCGTACAAACACTATCCGAAACTCATAAACCCCCTAGCCGCCCCCCTCCCCCCCCTGAGACCCTGACACCCCACCGAGCGAAAGGGGTGCGCCGATGCGGCGGAGCGCGGGGGGATGGGAAAGTTGGCGGGCTAGGTTTTTTTTTTTTCCAGGGTGTTGCCAGGGGTTTATTAGGGCTTGGACTTACATGTGAAAGATGGTCTAAGGGTTTAGGGTTGGGCACAGTGGGTTTCAGGGTATGGGCTTTGCGCCGGTGGGGGAGTAAAATGGGAGTTTCCGAAAATAGGGAACCCTAATATAGTACCCTAAATAGTAGGATCCTTATTATAAGGACTCCAAAATAAGGTACCCCCCCCTTATTTTCGGAAACTCCCAAATAGGTCCTTGAATTGTTGGGTTTGGAGGCTTAGGATGCATGGGTTGGCATGTAGGTCTCAAGGGTCTGCGGCCTCAGCTGGGAGTTTCCGAAAATTAGGGGTACCTTATTTTGGGGCCCCTTTAATAAGGATCCTACATTTAAGGTACTGTATTAGGGTCCCCTATTTTCGGAAACTCCCAGCTCTAGTCCCAAATTTCCGGTCGCCGACAGCTACAGTTAGGCTTGGGCTTCTGGGCTGTACTTGGAGGCTCATGGGTAGTTATAAGTAGGGTTCTACGTAGGAGAACTGTACTTATAGCTTACCTACTTTGAACCACCCACTAGGATGCCCAGTAGTACCCTTATTCCCTTTCTCTAGTCCTAGGTTCCTTATAAAGTTACCCAATACCAAAAAGAGAGGCCTTTTTATTCTTAGGTTACTGGGTATCCTAGGTACTTATAGCTTACCTACTTTGAACCACCCATGAACCTCCGAGTAGGGGTTAGGAGTTCGATCTGCTGTCTCTTTGTGACGCTGCCTGTGGCCCAACAACCTTAAGGTAAAAGCCAGAAAGTTGGAATATGATTATCCTAACCCTCCTATGGTAAATTATAGGGTATCCTACCATGAAACCATATTCCAACTTTCTGGAGTTCCCTGTACCTTCCTAAGGAATTGTAAGAAGAAACCATGCGGTTAGACATTTTAAGGAAGTGTATCAAGAAGAAACCTACCTTCTCAAGGGATTGTATCAAGAAGCCACATTCGGGGAACCCGGTGGGTTCAATGGGCTACAGGTGATTTCCACAGGGTAGATTACAAATTTGGCCCCCTTGTTCTTGGACCTTTGTTCCAGGCTTTGGGGGTGTAACCAAAGGATCATATGGGAGTTTCCGAAAATTAGGGGTACCTTATTCTGGGGTTCTTATAATAAGGATCCTACCATATAGGGGGCTATGTGTCCCCTATTTTCGGAAACCCCCATATCATGGGACTTAGCAACCTACGGTTGGAAATTCCACAGTAAGTATCACCTCAACTAAGTTACTTGTGACCTTGCTTACTTAGTCCCAGGATCCTGCAAGCAGGTGTCGATCCGCACACACTTGAAGCCACCACACTGGTACAGTTACAGTACACTCTAAACCCTAAGCCCTAAAGTACAAACCTTCTCCTTCCTCAAGCCAGTGATTGTATGAAACCCCGAGGCTGTGCAGCATTTCTCAGGTCCATCACAAGTTCGGGTTGGGGTTCGGGGATTAGACAGATAGTGAACTAGATTAGTCGTCAGTCGTGAAGGATTTGGAAAATTCCGAAAGCTCACATTAGGATCTTAAGACCTTCTAGAAGAAGCAGGCACTTCTTTCTAATTATTCAGGCCCCTATGGGTAGTTGTCAAAATTAGGGTCCCTTTTTGGGTCCCTATTATAGCACGGCACCTAATATTTAGGGTACCCAACAAGGGGACCCCAATTTTGACAACCGCCCCTTTAGTAGTAACTGGTTTTTTAAGGACTTATAAGTACCATAACCCCAATTAGGGTCCCTTTCAGGGTACTTATAAGTCTACTTACTACCTACTTACTAAGTCTCTAAACCCCTAAACCCTATAGTTCCCTTATAGAGCTCTCTAAAGGAACCCTTATCATCCCCTTCAAAGGAGCCCCCTATTTACTAAGTCCCCCGACCCTCCAAGTAGTAGACCACCTAAGACTGCAGAGGAGTTCCCGAGCGGCCTGGGGCATCCTAAACGCAGTTGGAAGTGCTTCATTCTAGGATTGTATAGTGCTTACCTGGACCCTAAGGAACCTGCCTTTTTAGGGTTCCCTAATATGATTTCCTTATATAAGTCCTTACAAAGGTAGGTTACGTGGGGTTAAGGTAGGGTTTAGGGTTTAGGGATCAGGGTTATGGTTTGGGTTTAGGGGGGGTTAGCATTTAGGGTATAGAGAACCCCAGAAAGTTGGAAGATGGATTTAGGATGATTCTTGCTGGGGGTTCCTTATGCCTTACTTTAAGGGCACGAGGAAAATTATGTTCGAACTTTCTGGCTTCTGCTGCAGGGTTTTTGGGAGGCTCCTTTAAGGGTTTCTATATGGGCGCTACGAGGGTTTAGGCTTTAGGGGATTTCTGGGTTTAGGGTTTTCTGCACGGAACAAGCCCAGATTTCAGTATCTCTCCAGTCCAACACGATGAAATGCGTGCTCTCGTTGAGTAGCTTAGGGATTGAGGCGTCGATGTCTGAAATTCAGGGTGCATCGTAGCGGGGCAGTGCGATCGAAGGAGTTGTGTAGGGCTCGAATACCAAAAAGCCTGCTGCATCTAGTCACCCGGATTTAGGGCCCCGGAAAGCAATCCTCTACAACCCAAAACCCTTGCGTTGTGGGAAATCATTGGTATCTGATACTCCACCCCTTTGAAGGAGCTTGTTTAAGGAACACCAAACACTACACCCCGGAGCCTCAAACCCTAAGCCCCAAACCCGATAACCCTAAACCCTAAACCCTAAACCCTAAACCCTAAACCCTAAACCGACTAAACCCTAGACCCTAAACCTCAAACCCGCAACCCCAAGCCCCAAGCTCACCCGAAGCCGCCGAAGCCCCAAACCCCAAACCCTACAAATCGCAAACCCTAAATACTAAAAACTCCCTGAAGCCTAAAGACCCCAAACCCATGTTTTTTTTTAAACTTATGGTTTTTTTAAACTAAACAACTGTGGTTTAACACAACAAAACCCTAAACAGACTAAACCCTAAGGACGATCACCAACTGCGACTTGGCAAAGGAAGCCGGCCTGCCACTCGACCGCTTTTGAGGTTTTGTAAGGTACGGTAGGGGTTTTTAAAGGGTTTTTTTTTCGGTAAAGGGGTTCCTTTACAGACTTGTAAGGGTTTAGGGTTTAGGCTTTGGTTTTGTTTCAACGGTTTTGGCATCTGACTTCGGGTAGTGATAAGCCTTTGCTTGGTTCAGTGTTCCGGGTGTTAGTTTTCTGATTCAGTGGATCTTTGGTTCAGGGTTTAGGTTCCATGTTCTTGGAGGATCATTGGACCTAGTAAGTTATTATAAGCACCTTAGTCGGAGTCATGACTAACTATAGTCTATAGCTGTAGTTATATTCTTATTTATACCCTAAGTTGCTAACCCCAGGATCCTCCAAGTAGGTGCTGCTTTGGGGCTTCTTTGTTTCGAACATTTGGCATTGGACTCGAACTTCGGACATATGCACAAAAAGAGGGGCCCATGGTAATTGGAACAGGGCTCCTTTTGGTGTTCTTAGGTCCATTCTCGTTGCTGTTTAGGGTTTAGCATTTGGGGTTTGGGCTTGTCATTCCTGTACAGCTCTAACATAGTATACCCCGGAAAGCTTTCCTAACTATGAAGGCCCCTCGAGCGCTCGAGGCCCTAGATTATCCAGCTCCCCGATTATGGATGGTTTTCTGAGTTGTTGTCCAGGAGCCTAATATCAGTATCCATACTTATTAAGAAGCCCGATTATTCAACTACTCTAGATCCCTCATATGCGAACTTAAAATTCCCACACAAGATCCCCATCACACGTGCTTGTCGTGGGCATTTAGACCGCAGAGTGTTGGGTTCTGTTTTTTTTCGGTTTGAGGGTTTCGATTTTAGGCGTTTGGGTTTTGGGGTTTGGCAATAGGGGTTTGGGTTGAGTTTTGGGGCTGGAAATTTGAACATCACTTTTCAGTCAAGGCTTCAGGCGCCATTGGAACTCTAGGGTTGAAGGTCTAGGGTTACGGTTGATGATGTAAATCCTGCATTACCCATAATACGGAATATACCATGATTCCCATAGTTTCGGGTCCTTAAGGTAATGCAGGGTTTAGATCATCAGCCGTAGTATGAGCAGCTTAGGGCCTTAAGCGGATCCTTACTCAGTACAAGCTCAGCTTCACAGTCCTTCATGAGCCCAAAGGGTCCTATGTACTGTTATGGGGGATACTTCCCCAGGTCATAATAGCAATTCCTAAACTTCGGGGCACTTAGAAATAATTTGTAATTTTGGGTTATTATAATTTCTAAAAAACAGCTGAAATTAAGAAATTTTGCTAGGGTTCTAAGTTCAGTATAGTAATATGGAAGCCCACATAGGGACCTTTTGGGGAACGGCCTTCGGGTTTCCTTTGTGCTTTGCCGGTTTCTGGTTAAGGGTTCAACTTGAACTACGTTTGGAATTCTTGGGTTTTAAGGGTTTACTCTAGGGGCCTCAAGAAACACTTATACTATTTTGGGTGTGCACTATCATATAGATAGTATGAGGGGCCCCAAAACTCTGTTCTAGTAATGGCCCCTATGCTAAGGGTTTACAAGACTTAGTGTCGAGGCTTCTCCAGCAGATTTTCCTAAGAGCCGGTGGAAGCAGTGCGCATTCCACTCAGCCAGCTCCATATTTGTTGCAGCCATAAGGATACTGTTTCTTTTGTAGATCATATAAACCTACCACACCCTGTGACTATATACCTTAAGCCAGAACTTTCGCGGCCCTAGATCCCGTGACATCACCTGCTCAAGGTGCGAGGGCATGCCAGAGCAGGCAGTGGGGGGAGTATAGGGTATAAGTTTAGAGTTTTGGAGTATATATAAAGGGGTTCAGGCTTTTTTTGAAGTTCGCTTGGTGGCTTTAGTTCTGCTTTCTTTTTGGGGTTTCGGGGTACCGGGCCTGGAGGTGTGAAATGTTGGAGTTCGGGGTTTGGGGAAGACTGGGGTTCAGGGTTCAGGGTTCCTTTAAAGGGATCAACAAGGGAGTTTCCGAAAATTAGGGGTACCTTATTTTGCGGTCCTTATAGTAAGGATCCTAGTATTCAGGGTACCTTATTAGGGTCCCCTGATTTCGGAAACTCCCACAAGGGTTCTTTTAAAGGGTCTATAAGGGTGCCTTAAACGGGGTCTGGGAGGCTACTGTAAGGGTTTAGGCGTCAAGGGGTTTTAGGGTTTTGGGGCGTAAGGTTTGGGGTTTTGGCTTTGCGGTTTAGCGTTGGGTCGTGGAGGTTTCGAGCTTGGCCGTCCTGGTCTTAAAGTCCCACGAGGGTCAGGATTCAGGGTTTAGGGTGTCCGATTTCGGGGAAGTGGGAATTCTATACTTGGGGGCTGAGTAGCCTGGTCCCACAAGGGTTATATAACCTTTTCAATTATGATATATAGGGCTATGTAAACCTCAAAGGTGCCCAGAAGGTTAAAGGTTACCTACCTTGCTAGTACGTATACGGGCCACACCACACGTGAACCTATGCACCCCTGACTGAGTTCAAGAGTTGTCAGGCTGGACAGGACACTGTTGATCCATCACGTGCTCCCTTTGGGCGTTGGGTGCTCTCGGCACGAGCCGAGCATCCGTAGTTGCCGTAGCTCATAATTATCTTTTCAAACCCCAAACCCTGAACCCTAAACCCTCAACCCCTAAAGCCCCCACCCCTAAACCCCTATACCCTAAACCCCCGAAGCCCTAATTCGTAAACCCCTAACCCTAAACCCCTAAAGCCCTAAACTCCAAACCCTAAACCGGGCCCTTAGAGTGCTAAATACTTGCAAGATGTTAGGAGGCTTCGTGCAACAGACTTGTTCTTGTAGTAGCTGGGCAGGAAACTCTTAACCTTTGGCGGTTTATGTAGTTTACCAAAACTGCACAGGTCAACCTTTTGTGGCCTAGGGCCTAGGGTGCTCAGCCCCGAAGCCCTAAGTCTCTGAAAGTCAGCTTGGTGATGTCCAAAGCTTGAGTTTGCAACTGTGCAAACTTGTTGGGGCTGGAGCGCCTGCTGAGCCTACACCCTAAACTTTACACCCTACGACTTTTCAACTGTTGCTTACTATAGGGGCGTAAATAAGTACTGTACCTATACTATTCTGGGGTTCCCTTATTATCATTGTAGTATACTACACCCCCAAGCCCTATTCAAATTATTAAGGCCCCTATAGTACTTGCTGGAACGCTGCCGCCCCCGACTTCCTGCCCTTATGCACTACAGGTTCACCCTTTGGTTACGAAGTCCCATGATCCTCTGAGTAAATCTTCAATGTGAGGCGGTCTTCTTTTGCGCATCGACCTGCAATCTCTGCCACCTGCGCCTCGGCTTGTCAACGCTCTCCTTACTCGGGTTCCTGCAAGGGTTTCCAAAAGGGGCGAAATGAAGATGAGTTACTACAATTTAGGGGCAAAGGTTGCTATAAGCGTTTAGGGATCCATGGACTTAGTGGGCAGGTAAGGTAAGAAGTAGAGGCAATAGTTTCCCATGGGAAGCCCTAACCGAAACCAACTCCCCCAGACACTCCAAGTAGGGCTTTGGCTTTAAGGCCCGGTTTAAATCCTGAACTCGAAACCCAACATACCCAGAGGGGGTCGAGGTCTTGGATTCGTAACTGTTATACATGCGCGGTTCTATACCGAGTGATATAGCAATTATATACCTTAATAAGGACCCCTAGGTATATACCCTCAATATAGCAATTATAGACCCATTATATAGCCCATTATAGGGTGGGGGTCCCCATTAAGGGTCCCTCCTTTCCCCCTTTGAATACCGGGTTTTAAACCCTAAACCCTAAACCCTAAACCCTAAGCCCTTAACCGTCTGTTCTATACGGTTTAGGGGTGTTGTGCTCGGAGGCTGGGTTGTAAGACTCTCCGAGCTTCCCAGAGACTCCAAGATCCCTTTATCAAGGAATATACCTTAAGTCATATTAGGGATCCTTCTATAATTTAAGGAATATTCCTTAATTATGGGGTTTTGGAGGCTCTGGGTTGGCTGTGTGCCGTTTCGGGCGTTTAGAAATGCAGGGCTCTTCAAGCCCCTGGCATAGGGTTTCCCTACAGGATTGTACCCTAAACTCAGAACCACTATAAGCTCCTAAACCCGTAATTCTAAACTGTAATAAATACTATACTTACCCGTACTACTTTGGGGTTCCTTCTTCTGACCATACTATAGTATACCCCGAAGCCCTATTCTAATTATCAAGGCCCCTGTAACATAATAAACCCCCACAATACCCCTTCAACGAGCCGAGAAGCCTAAATCTTAAGACCCTTCAATAGATTATTAACTAATTCCAACTTTTTCCTGAGGGTTCCTTATTATAACTATACCAATAAAGGAGCCCAAAAGCCCAGTTCAAAGCCCAATGCTACTTATTACAACGCCCTTACATTAGCCCGGAACCCCGAAGATTGAACTGAACAGTCGGAAGGTTGGGATGAAGCTGAAGAAATGAAGGCGAGCGTGGGGAGATCGCATGGCTTCTTCGTCCAGTGCAGCGGACCCGTAGTGGGCCCCTTCAAAACAGACCCCAGGTAGGCCTCGCTTGAGTCAAAGGGGAAAAGGACCCCTACCCTATGATGGGCTATAGAATGGGTATATACTAGCTATATTGAGGGTATATACCTAGGGGTCCTTATTAAGGGTCCCTCCTTTTAACGCTGGATTGAGGTTGTGATTATGCTCATTAGCTGTTAGCCGCTACTACTACTCCCGCTGCTGCTACTACTACTGCCACTATAACCACCACGGCTAATACTACTAGTGTTACTGTGACGACGATTTCTTCTAACTGCTTTACGCCGGCTGATACTACTAAGTTCTTCAAGCAGGATGTGCTCTTGGCGTTCTTCTGGTTGGCTCTTAGGACTTTAACTCTTTGGATTTCTATATGGGTGGTTGTCGAAATCACGGTACCTTTTGGGTCCCTATTATAATACGGCACCTATTGTTTAGGGCACCCAAACAGGGACCATAATTTTGACAACTACCCATATGAGCTGTAACAAGGAGGTTAAAAGTTTAACATTCAGGAGGGTTCAGACGTCAGCCAAGTACTTTAACCGAGGACGAGCTGAGTCTTCGCATGTTTGGTGCTGGAGGGCCAAGCTTTAAGGGGTTTAGGGTGCTAGGGTTTAGGGTTTAGGGGTTTAGGTTTTAGGGTTTTAGGGTTTGGGGGGTTTAGGGTTTAGGGTTTAGGGGTTTTGGGTTTAGGGTTTGGCACAACATTGTAGGGTTCAGGGTCAAGGCTGCAGGTTTTAGGAATTTGCCTAGGGAGACCAAGCCCCGCTGTCTTCATAGTTCAACAACTAGGATGCCCAGTAGTACCCTTATTCCCTTTTTGTAGTCCTAGGTTCCTTATAAAGTTACCCAATACCAAAAAGAGAGGCCTTTTTGTTCTTAGGTTACTGGGTATCCTAGACAATCTTGGGCTTTATGAGCATAGCATGAGGTTGTGTGACTTCACTGTCATTTCAAAGGACTTTCGTTCAAGTTCCCATGGGAGCTGTGGGTGAGATTTTTACGGGTCCTTTTGAAGGAGCGTGCTGGAGCTTGCACGTAAATCTGCATAGAAGCCATTGCAATGGCGCCGCTTCGGAGCCAGATCTCGTCGTTGGAGGGTGAAGGCATTTAGATCCCGTAAAAGGAACCTGTAAGTAGATCCACTAATTTGGGGCCCGATACTACTAAGGGTACCTTGTAAGAACCCCCCATTAAGGGATCTACTTTTTGGATCCTCCCGAAATTCTGGGGAAGGAGCCTGTAAGAATGCCAATACAGCCTTCTGAAACCCAAGCCCTACACGGAGATCTGGCACTTGGGACACGGTGCGCGAACTTTGTGCACGTGCCTCATAAACATAGCAGGGGAGCCTCCGAACTAACACCTCGATGCGATCGTTTGCGTCTCTAGCTTTCTTCGGAGACTCTAAGATTTTTCAGGTTTTCAGGTCTTGCCAAAAAATATATCCTAGGATGCCCAGTAGTACCCTTATTCCTTTTTTGTAGTCCTAGGTTCCTTATAAAGTTACCCAATACCAAAAAGAGAAGCCTTTTTATTCTTGGGTTACTGGGCATCCCAGTATCTGAACCCAGCCCCAAACCGTAAACCCTAAACCTTAAACTCCTAGACTGAGCCGGTATTTCTTTCTATCCGCCTGTGTACCTACACATCTGCACATCAGGTTACATGCATACATACATACGCACAGTCAGACATAACATTCATACATACATAAACCCTAAACCCCTAAACCCCTAAACCCTAAATTCAGACATAACTTCTTACTTAAGTACTTATTTCGGACCGTCCCCTATTAACCCACCTACCTACATACCTACTTACCCACCTATACCTACCTACATACAGACATGCATGCTTGAGGAACACGTGCACGGAGCAGAACATGAGCATACAACCATACGCATGTTCGTACATGCATCTCTTTGCATCTGCAAGCCTATGTACATCCGTACTTGCGATGCTTCCTCAAACGTCAGGGTTTAGGGTTTAGGGTTTAGGGTTTAGGACCCTAAACCCTAAACCCTAAACCCCTAAACCCTAAACCTACAAGAAGGTCCTTGGAAGGAGTCCTTTGTGTTTCATCAACATGCACTGATACGGCATCGGCTTTAGAGGAAGCCTTTGCTCGGCCCTACCGCAAGCTCACCAACGAAGGCTGGTATGTTCAGAAATGAAGGAACGCCCCTTAAAGTTGCAGTCGCAGTCGCTGGAGGTGACCTTGGGAAACGTTCAGTCGAGCTCCTGACAAAAATGTTGGAATTCAAACTTTTGGGGTCCAGGTATAGGTTAACTGGTCGTTTTACCACAGGGTCTTTCTAGTTGTAGGCTTGCAGGATTTAGGGCTTTATGTACGGGCCCCAATGATTACCAATATTATTTTGGGGATTCCCTCATTATAATTATCGTATAATGGGCCCAGCCCAATTGAAACTATAAAGGCCCCTGTAGTAGGGCTTACAGGGTTTGTGGGGAATTATTTCATATCTGTGATACACCTGACGTCCTGCCATGATTGAGGGCCTAGCAGGAATCGACGGCACACGGGCTTGATGTGCATTCTTCATGTATATAGATAGCTGTTTAGGGTTTAGAGTTTAGGCTTTGGGGTTTAGGGCCATATAGATATATACAGTTCTTATTTTCCTTAAAAGCCCTGCAAGTCTTTGATTTCGAAACCTTGAAAACTGCAGAAAAAAACTGCACTCTCCCAAGCCCCGCTATGGAGCATTAGCAACAACATCCCAGAGCCCGAACATATTATTGAAATCGTAGCAAGCAGCCCTCTATAGTTTTTTGCCAGTACGGTTGATGACACAAATCCTGAATTCCCCATAATAAAGAGTCTACAATAATTCCCATGGCTTAGGATTCCTCGGGTAATGCAGGATTTATACCATCAACTGTATTTTTCTGTTAGATGAGCTCTGCTTCCTGGGGTTATTGAATGTGGGAATGAGAGGAGTGATCAAAAAGATGAAGTTAGAAGTGCCCCAATGTTCAGGTATGGCCGTCAGGGTTCCTTCATCAAGGGTTCTGAAAGGGTCTGAACTATAAGACTATAAGGGTCTCGGTTTTGCTTTCAGTTGTGTTTTTACGGTTTTGGGTTGTGGCGTTTGTTTCGGTGATCTCCACAGAACAGTCTTTTGCTCCGCTCTACTGGTACCTGATGAATTCAGGTTCTCGTGTTGACACCCGCAGCAACAGCCTGCTAAACCCTAAGCCTGTAATTTTCGAAAATCCGTAACCCCTGAATCTCCCTAAACCTTAAACCCTAAACCCTAAACCCTAAACCCTAAACCCCTGAATCTCAGCAACAGCGCAAGCCCGAGAGCCCCGGCCCCAAGCCCCTAAAAAGGCTAGAGTTTCAGGTTTAGCTTTCTCCTTTAGCTCGTGCCTTTCCAAGCCGAAGCCACTGCGCTTTCTAGATGTTGATTCAGATACTATACTCGGCTTCTCAAAGGTTCTACAAGGGCTTTATGAAATAGGTCCGGAACAGGTTCTTGACACAGGAAAACCCTAAACCGAAACAGTTGCTTTAATTGTTTTGGGACAAGTCAGGTACCCTAACCCCTGGACCCTAAACCCTAAACCTTAAACCGAGGTCTTAACCCTGAATTATCCTGGGACTGTCGGCATGAATCGCTTGAACCCTAAACCCTGTACACCCTAAGGATTTAGAGTTCACGGTTTAGGGTTTATAAACCCTAAACCCCGAACTCTAAATCCTAAGGGTGTATAGGGTTTAGGGTTGAGAATTTAGTGTTCAGGGTTCCGGGGTCCAAGGTTCAACGTGTAGCGTTCCAAAACCCGCGAAGCTGGAGCCTCCAGATAGTTAGGATTAGGGGGACCCTCGAGGACATAGACCCTCTCAATAAGGTACCTTTTGAAGAGAGCCAGAAGTAGGGTTCGGAAGGGGTACCCTTTAAGGGGTCTCCCAAATCATGCTACCCACAGTCAACGCCTCAGGTGTTCGAGTTACTAAAACGTCAGCAGCTCGCAATAAACAGCAAAGGCGTCGTACAAACCGACACAGCCCTTATTTAGTGTTTAGGAAGATTCGCAACCGAGGGCCCTTTGGCCGGCGGTGAGCTTTGGTGTGGTTTTCCCAGTCCTGTAGGTTTCAAAGACGGTGGGCCCTAATCCCAGACCTGGGACGGCCCTTGGCTGTAGGTAGAGGAACCCTAAACCCTAAACCCCTGCGGGGTTTCCCAAACCGTACTACATTCGGACCGCGCTTCAGGGTTGATGGTCGAGTTTTTGCGATGAAAGGCCGCGCAGAGGTTGGGTTCAAAGGTCCAAGAGTCAACCGGCAGCCGTAAACTTTCGGTTTTGGTATCTGTGATAAAGTCTGCCATGCTCAGAATTTGCTTGACACCTCTCTCAACACGGACAGGGTGTAGGCGGTGTAGGGTTAAGGTTGTCTATAAACCCCAAACCCCTAAACACCTGCATCTTTAACCCTAAAGGCAATCGAAGTATCGGTCGCACCCTGATTTTTTGAAACCATACCCTCAGGCCTTGCAAAGCCTTGCCAGACACCCCCACACCTGAACCCCAAACCCGAGGCTTTAACACTAAAGTTTGAAACGTAACCCAATGAAAGTCTTTGGGCTGCACCTAAACCCAAGCCATTACGGCTCAAATCCTAAAATTTGGACCCTGAGCTGTAAAGCTTGAACCGTACCTTAGCCGAAGCCGTCGGGCATAATGCCGATAGCCCAAGAGAAGCTTTAGGGGGTTTAGGGTGTAGGGATAGCCCAAGAGAAGCATTACCTTATTAAGCCGGAATAACCTACCTTTTTAAGGACTTATATAAGGAAGTCATAACAAGGAACCCTTAAAAAGGTAGGTTACTCCGGCTTCAGGTAGGAGTTGAAGCCTTGCTTCACTAGGGTTTAGGGTTCGGGACTCGGTTGCG